ATCACAGAATTTTTTGAGTTGGAAGGCACCTTAAAGATCATTGAGTTCCAACTCCCCTGCATGGGCAGGGACACCTTCCACTAGAACAGGCTGCTCAGAGCCCCGTCCAACCTGCTCTTGAACACCTCCAGGGACGGTGCCCCCACAACATCTCTGGGCAGCCAGTTCTAATGTCTCACCACCCTTACACTGAAGAATTTACACCTGATCTCTAACTTAATACTCTCTTCTTTCAGTGTAAAGCCATTACCTCTACTCCTCTCACTGCAAGCCCCTGTAAAAAGACCCTCCCCAGGTTTCCTGTAGACCCCCTTCAGTCACTGGGAGACCACTGTGAGGTCCCCCCGGAGCCTTCTCTTTTTCAGACTGAACAACCCCAACTCCCTCAATCTGTCCTCATACGAGAGGTGCTCCAGCCCTTGGATCATTTTTGTGGCCCTTCTCTGGACCTGTCCCTTTAACTTGCTGATTGCACAGATGTTCCACACACTTAGTGCTTACTTTTCTAGATACAACCTGTTAAAAAAAATACAGATTTTCTTAAAAAAAACATAAATGGACATAAAGAAAAAGGATAGTAACAGCAGTAATACAGATAGTTGAGGGAGAGCTAGAGGTAATTTTGTTGCCAAGGAACAATCAGCACATCAAGTTAAACACAAGCTACACAAGCCTCCAAAATAACAGAAAAAACAACCATTGTTATTGATTAGAAATCCTTTGAGAGGTAATGAATTCTGTGCAACCACTGGCTCTCTCAAACATATTTTTTTTAAATTGTGTAAAAGATGTAAATACCTTTCTTGATAGAACATCCTAGATTATCTTCAAAACTGTTTTGCTACAGAAGACTGGAAAACCAGTGCAAATCAAATGGAACACAAACAGAATGCAGGTGGAAATAAAAACTGTGCACTTCTTCACTAAAGGAACTTTTCTGGTGACCTTAGACAATGGGGTTCCTTTTCATGACACAGTAGCCCTGGAGGTACTCTGAGGAGACTTCAAGATAGTATTGTTGGATACTCCATTTTGCTATATACAATGGATAAGAGGTTTTTCCATTAAAGGCAGACAGTGTTATGCCACTCTACACCTTTCCCAGAAAAGGAAGACAAATTTGGTTTTCTCCATTTTCAGCCATTTTCTCTGTCCCTAGGGAGTTCTAACTAAACAGAGGGAGAACAGAACTGGAGAAGAGATGGGAAATGAGAGTGACAGCTAAATACTAATTGCATTCAGCCAAAATACTGAAGCTAACTGGAATCTCAAGATAAAAACTTGGCACTCATTAATTTTGGCATAGAAATTCTTCTGTCCTGATGGTTGCTTGTAGCAGTTCAAGCGTGTACATAATAGCAGTAACTAAAAAAAACTTAATTCCATTAAGAAATATTTAATACACTTTAAAATATCAGTTGATGACAACTGAAACTAGTAGTTACAGAACATTGATTTAAATTCGTATTTTTTATTCTCTAGCATAGTGTGTCTCTTAGCAGCTAGCAGGGGCATTTTAAGGGCATCTAAGTTAAAGAATGCAGGAAGAAGTCCTTTGGGAACAATACATGTATATATATATTTAAACATATATCTATCTATATATAAAATCCATGTATATTTGATAAAATATAATTTGGTTTTCCTTCAAATCCAATAACTTCTACCAAAACAGTGACCCACAAAATTTGAATTTTATTTGGTGTTGTTTGGGGAATTTTCAACAAGTTTGCTTTACTTTTGTGTTTATTGTCCATCTTAGAACAAAAGCAGTTCCTCTTTTTCATTTCTATAATGCTACAATTTTAATCAAGTGTTGCTGAGATTGTTACTTCATCAAAGAGATGATAAACAAACAAAAAGGGACGGATAAGTGTAAATTACATTTTCCCATTAGGTTTACTGTTATTCAGTTTTACTCTGGATAAATCCATTTGAGAATGCCAGATAGACTTAAAACTACAGACAAGCTCATCAGTTTAACTGAACATTAAAATAATTTCTAATATTCTGTTACTCTTAAGTATACCTAACAGTTCAACAGCCAAGAGAAAGCAATCTTCTTGAGATTAATATTGTTTGTCATCTACTGTGAAAATCCAGTGTATCTCAAACTGTTATCTTTCATGTTTCAGTTTTATGTTTAATTTAGAATTTAATTACTCCAAAAGACTCATATTCTTCAACTCTGTGGCTAAGTTCCCGAGCAATTTCAAGGTTTATTTAAACAAATTGAGCTCCTGAGCTTGAGACTTGCCCATGAGATAAAAAAGTGCCTATTTTCAATTTGAAATTGGCACATGGCATACATGCCATTCAGAAGGCAGTAAAATCTGCCACTACACAATGATTACAGACCTGTGGATAAAAGCAAAGAAATAAAAGGATATAATTTTGTTTGCCTCCAACTTTTTTAATTTAACTCATCTGAGAATTTTCCAGCAATAATTCTCCCAGTGAAGGTCATAATTCTTCTTTAATTGTGTCCACCTGGTACAGTACCCTCTTCTTCTCGACCTCTCGGTGCTTGGCTCACAGAACAACACTCATGCCTTCCCTTTCTTTCCTTTTATTTTGCATTTAGGGCAAGGGTAAAGACGTTTGAATTTTTTGTTGTGTCACACAACAGAATCTTGAGCCTTGCTTCCTCCAAGGCTGGATGATTTCCCTGTATTCAGTCTCTTCCTGTTCATACCTTCAGAGAACGAATTCCTGCCCTGCTTCTGCTACACTCTGACATGCTGAGCTTTTCCTTATAACCTGCCCCTCCTGAGAATCTGCCAAGTAAATTGAAAATTGGTAACAGCCTCTAATATCTCTAATTTCTTTTCCCTTTTTCTGCTCCTTTCATGCTCTTCCTTATCCATCAAACAACTCACCCCCCCAAAAAATAAAAAAATAAAAAAATCAAAACTGGAAGGAAATTCCTTTAGCAGACAAAAATCTTCATTAGTAAATTAATGTATGAACCAGAAAGTTAAGGCCTACTGACTCAAACATTCAAAGACACTCAGACTACAAAATCAAGATTTGTTTTCTTAAGTAAACACTTGCTTAACAAGCTAACCCACATTATGCCTTGCCATGCTCCCAGGTACCCTGAGAACAAAAGGGGAACTGTGGCACTCTTAAAGAAATCAGCGCAGACAAAGGAAATCTCCTTCCTTTTCCAACTTCATGTTTGCAGTAACTTAATTTTGGAGAGTCAGACCATAAACATGAAATCTGTAAATACTGTAACTGGCCATATTTCTCTGACAAAGTTTTACTATGTTTCCTCCTTAGGGTGTTGATCATGAATGAAGTAGTATTTTTGGAATGTAAATGCAGTTTGCACACTAGTGAGCGTATAGACTGTATAGTAAGTAATTAGGGTTAAGGCAGTAAGCAGTAAACTTTTTTGGAGAAAACTTAATTTGTATTTTCAAACAGAATATGTAAGAGTGATTAATAATGGTGGCTAATTTATTTGTCCAGGAACACAGACTTAGCTAGATAGGAAATTTTGTATTAGTGGGATAGCATTTAACTATTTAGCAATTTATGTATAAAATAAATGAGAATATGTTCTATTGCTCTTGAGGTGGATTACATGAGACTGAAGTAGGCATTTTTATATCCTGTTTAATGTCAAGTTGGAAAATTAGATTCTTTCTTAGCCTTTGAGCTTTAGTCATAAAAAGACTGATGGTTCAGGACCTCCCACTGTTTGAAGATATACCATGCATTTAAATGGAAAGGGCTGACTGTCCCAGGGCCAGAAAAATCCTTAGCTTTTTATACGGAAAAGTATTTCCTGCCCATTGGGTTGTAAAGGTAGCTCAATAATTTTGAATGAATTAATGTTAAGCTATTTGTATGTAAGTATTCATGTATGCTAAAGAAAGTGAAAGACTGGGTATCATTGCTAATAAGATTTACCTGGACTGATAGACTACATAAAAAGAAAACATATAAAGGAGAAATGTGTCCTATAAGAAAAGATAAGAAGAAAATCTGTTGAACTGGGATTTTTATGTTTTAGGGCAAATTCATTCCATTTCCCTTGTACTGACTGTCTTCTATTCATATGAAATGCCCTTCTTCTCTTCCTAGAATATTGAAATTTAAAAGAATTATATCATATGTTTACAAAACAGAGATCCTTGAATTCCTATTACTTAAGCAAATTTGACACACTAGTAGTTCAAAATAATAGATTATCTTATTGTTCATTTCTGAAATGTTTGCACAGCACTACCCGTCAGCAAATTTGTTTAAGATTTAAGAGACTGACTGATAATGAATCTGTAATTATCCTTCAACATTCAATGCTTTATGGAAATCATACTGCACATCATCATCCTAAGATAGCTTTCATGTTCATGAGTCTTAGCCAAGTCCCTCTACCATAAGTTTGCCTTTCAGTTCAGTTTGTTTATTTTGTTTTGTTGCATCCACCGCATTTATCAGCTCAGAGCACGAAGGCCAATGGAAATAAACAATGAGACATTTGAATTAATATTTTTGTGGCAAAGAGCTTTACTTAGATATTTTGTGGTTTCAATGCAATCACAACACAAAGACAAACTTCCTTTCTAAGTGACAGATCTAATTGTTTAGTTAAAATTATAACTCCATGGGGAAAAAAAATAAATGTTGAAGACACGATATCTTTCATATGTCTGGATGTGGCTGCATTCACAAGATAATTCCTTTTATTCATTAGTTGATTTATACTTTTAATCTCTCCATAACATGCAGCATTTATTTACCTTTAGGTTTTGTGTAGTTACATTTCTGCTGACATGAGTATTTTCCCAAAATACAGCAGTCCTCTGCTAGACATTTAAGCCATCTGTATATTTATTTTTTAATTTCTTTCTTGAACTTTCTAACTGTAAGCAGACTGGGAAAGGGGAGTCATGATGAATAAGAGTTTGCTTTTTTTTTAAAAAAACAAACCAACAAGTCTAAATGTAGACACTTGATGTAACATTGAAAAATTTGCCACCTCCTACCTTGAAAACAAACATTTCCCGGCGAAGAATAGCCAGAGTGTTGAAGTTCCCATCACAGATGTTAGGCTTGGCTCCAGGATAGGAAGGCTTGTCACCAGTGGGTGGCCGGGGAGGTTTAGGTTGCCTGTCATTTTTCCGTGGGTCTACCGGAGGGATTGAACGATGTGGGGGCACTGTTGGCAGAGGTCTTGTTGGTGGTGGGATCCGATCAGGTGGACCTTTAAGAAAGCAGCAGGATGTAATCTGCATGCCCACCAGTGGCACCCAAAGAAGAAATACACAACAAAAACCTGCTATAAGCAGCACAAATCCTACAGTGGAATGTGAATGGAAAAAGTGACCTAATGTACCTTCCCCAAGGTGTTAAAGGACATAATGAATGACTAACATACAACTAAGGCATGAATGAGGAAAATAATTACTTTTCACTATCCAGAATCTTCTGTCCTTATCGGAACATTATTCCAATAAAACCTGCAATGGATGCATAGTTCATCATCAATTCAGATGAGAAGTAAGTCATAGAACATACTTTGCCAGCTGAGTAAGAATCATTAAAATGCAACCATTGTCTACTGTACCAAATGAAGGAAAACAAAGGTCAATGGGTTTTCAACCTGTATTTGTAAAATCCACTCATCAGTTAACATATGTATACTTGTAGCATACCTGGTATTTCCTACTGACCCAATTTGCTGGTCAAGTAACGTCATATGCCTTAGTGACAGGACATTTCTATACCTTTCCCTTTTTATAGTTCAACTATGCCATCCTATATTTTCCATGTACAAAAAAGATAAGAGGTGACAGTTGGATCAGTATGATTTCTGGAAACTAGAAGAAAACTTTAACTTTGCTCATTCTACTTAGGCCTTTCTCCAAGCTGTGTAAATACACAATCAATTTTTACTTTAGTAAGTAAATATAATTTGCATGACCAGCTTCAGAAAGATTTCTCAACAGCAAGGTAACTCTAAAACTGCATAAATGGCATTTGAATTTCTGATGCTTTTTTTGAAAAAAGTCCAATTTTTAAAGAAAAAGATAGACTACATAAGGAAATCTTTAACTTACCACATGATTTTCATACAATGAAATAAGGCATTTATTTCCTTCCCAACTTTAAGGCTTGTGACATTTATAATTTACAGTTAACACTGGTGTTTCAAGGAATATTGCAGACTAAAGTAATTATTTTAATAGGCGTTACATTTTTATTGAGGCTTGATTCCAGATCACCTCTTCATTTTAAAAGGAGCAAAGGAATCAGCTTGCAGTAGCTTATTTTGGAAAGTTTTTAACCCCAAACCAAAGTTTTCATATGCCATTTGGTGATGATGTCAGATATTACTTCCCAGGGGTAACACATTTCTCCTAATGTATAGCACACAGCTGTTAGAGCTTAGCAGCTAGTTTTCAGGAAAGTATTCTTGTCTAGCCTTTAAGTCTAGACTACAAACTTATGAGGTCATGAGAAACAAACTTCCTTCCAGCTAATCACACAGGAAAAAAGACAACCAAAGAAAATCTGCTCAGACAATAATTTTGAACTTACTATTTATGCTTTATAAAAATATATATCAGTGTTTGTTAATACATTATATTCTAAAAATCTCATTAATATTAAAATACCATGGAGGCTGCAGAGTTGTAGTTAGCAGTCCAGTAATTCTACATTATCATAGTATTTTCTATCAGTAAAGATAAACAAGGAAGGCCCCGATAATATTCAATATAAACCAGACAGTCAAAACCTTAAACTTAAAATAATTTTGTGTACAAAATAGAATAAAATACAGAAATACTTGGGGAATATTAAACAAGGCAACTCCAAATTATATGCACTGGACACATAGCATTAACATACAGATCCTACAGATTTTCACTGTAGAAGAAAAATAAACATATAAAAGTAGAATCAAAGTCTTTAAAACCAAGAACAAAACCATGCACTTAGAGATGGAGGGAACAGTCACATGGGAATTAGTGATACATTCAACTAATAATTGGAATAATGTTAATGTTTCGGCTGTTGTTTTTTTTCTTTTTTTAAAATATTTAACTAACTTACCTTATCAAATTGAATTGAATACATGCAGAATTTATTTATGTCACATTATATCTTTTATATCAGGCCACAAAACACCTAAATAAACATTTTTTAAGGGAGTGGGCCTTTTCCCCCCTAGATAGCTCAAAAACCTGAGTTGAAAATAACATTCTGTTTAGATCAGTTTGCTACATTTATCACAAGAAAGGGTTTTTCTGGGACCAAAAGTTTTGTACACTCAGGGAACCATTTGGTATTATAACCGGTAAACTAAGAAACAATCAATGCATGCAGTTACATGAGCTTGCACTATAGTGGAAATAAGGTTGTTATGGTTAAAGGATTGCATTTCTTAGTATTTCCATAGTTTTGGAGCCTTTTGCAGAAATTTTTGTTCTGATTTGTAATTAAAATTAATTAAATTAAATTAATTAATTATGACTATTTAATTTAAATTCTATTTTTAATTTAAAATTACTCTTCCAGTTATATACAAATTTGTGTGCAAGCTGTGAACAGTGAGAAACAAAGTAAAATATCTTCATCAAAATCTTTGGCCTACTCACAAGAAGGCCTTTGACCTAATTACTGGCAGAATCAACATTTAACAAACTCTTTTGGTGTGCTGGCATGGACAGGAAGACCTCAAATGTATTCTAAAATGAAAAAAAAAAAAAAAAAGTTGCTAAAATGGATCATGACATACCGTATATCTTCTGGATTCCCTGTAAATCATCATTAGGTAGTTTGAAATTGTCAGTTTCCATATACTGGTAAAATGGAGCCATGATTGCAGTGGGATCATTAGAGTGCTCCAAGCCCAGAGCATGTCCCAGTTCATGCACTGCAACTAGAAACAGATCATTTCCTATGAAGAGAGCAAAGGGAAAAAAGATCTTTGAAACCATAAGCACAATAACAGAAATAACATAAGTGGAGCACGCTATACTTGGAAGACATTTTCACTCAATTTGGATTTTACAAAGTAATGTTTAATAATCGATTATATGGATAATGCAGTAGCAAAGACAGCTTTCCCTTTTTTTTTTTTTTTAAACAAGGATACCATAATTGTTACATATAAGATAAAATCCCATTACACACAACAAAATTGTAATCTTTTTTTTAACTGATGCACATGGTTAGTGTATGATTCAAGTGTCATACCTCATGTCTAGGCTTGTGTGCCATTTCTGACTTGAGGTGGATGCTTCAGTGAACCTGACTGAAAATGTTTGCATCAAGACAGTTGCAAACGGAAAATATCCTTTTTGTTCCTAGCAAACTTCACAAACCGAGGACTACCTATTTAGGATAAATCCCACAGGGAGCTTAGTCATCCAGGCACTTGTAAAAAGACCACTGCTGAATATTTGTAGATGTTGTCTATTTCTGAATCACCACAACTTAAATTCTAATGAGGAAAATATGGGTGTTGCGCTATCCTTCTGAAAATAGAATGTTCTAATTGTCTAATTCCTTTACCTGCAGTTGCTTACTTAAGTATTAGAACCACCGTCACATTAAAAAACATTTTCCTAATCTCCAACCTAAACCTACCCTTCTCTAGCTTGAAACTATTACCCCTTCTCCTGTTGTTACATGTCCTTGTGAACAGGTCTTCCTCAGCCCTCTTACAGGCTCCTTTCAGGTCTTGGAAGATCACTATAAGGTTTCCCCTACAAGACTCCTCTCTTCTTTTGGCTGAACAACCCCAACTGCCTCAACCTGTCTCCAGAAGAGAGGTGCTCCAGCCCATGGATCATTCTCATGGCCCTCCTCTGCACATGCTCCAACAGGTCCACATCCTTTATGTCTTAAAGGCTCCAGAGCTGGATGCAGTGCTCCAGAGCTGGATGCAGTACTCCAGGTGAGGTCCCACCAAGGCAGAGAAGAGGGGCTGAATCACCTCTCTCAATCTGCTGGCCACACTTCTCTTGATGCAGCCCAGAATGGAGTTAGCCTTCTGTGCTGCAATTGCACATTGGTGGCTTATGTTCAGCTTTTGATCCAATAGTACCCCTGGGTCTTCTTCCACAGGGCTGCTTTCTACCATGTCTTCCCCCAGCTTATATTGATATCTCTGGTTGCCCTGGCCCAGGGCCAGGACCCTGCCCTTGGCCTTGTTGAACCTGATGAGGTTCACCTGGATCCACTTCTCCAGTTTGTCCAGGTTCTTCTGGATGGCATCACATCCCTCTGGCATATTGACCGCACCACCCAGCTTGGTGTCATCAGCAAACTTGTTGAGGCTGCTATCAATGCCACTGTCAATGTCACTAATGAAGATACTTAACAACACTCCTCCCAGTATGGACCCCTGAGGGACACCACTTGTCACTCTTTTCCATCTGGACATTGAGTCATTGACTACTATGCTTTGAATGCGACCATCCAGCTAATTCCTTACCCACTGAACAGTCCACCCATCAAACTCATATCTCTTCAACTTAGAGAGAAGAATGTTGTGGCGTTTGTGTCAAAGGCCTTGCAGAAATCCAGATAGATGATATCCATAGGTCTTCATTTGTCCACTGATGCAGTCACTCACAAATTATATATATATATGTTTATATAATTACAGAACTTTGAGTACACGGTTGAGCGCATTTCAATTTTTCAAGTGTTTCCTCTTCTTGACACAAGAAGAGGAACATACATTTTGTTTTAGGTATATACAAGAGGGTGAACACTTAGCAGTTGTAGCCCCCCAATACCGGCTCGCAACAGCAGTGACTGTCTTTGTGATGTATGAAGCCTTGCTGGTATTTGTAAAAGAAATGTTAGGTTAAAAGTGTGGAAACAGCAATAACTAAAACTAGTTTACATGGTATTTTAATGTCTTTCTGATTCTTAAACTGGAAATATGAAAACTAAGTGCTCTTGGTCTTTTATTCAGTATTACTGAGCAGAAAAATTGTGTCTTTCAAAAATGATGTCACAGAATGTGCTTTCAGAAATGATAACAATATATCCTATAATTTATAATAATGTGGATTACAGATGAAATATTTTTATGGCAACATTTGTTCTTGTATGCAGTTCTTTTTATAGTAAAGCAGTTTCTCAACATACTGTTGCAACAGGTTTGATAAGCTTAACTTTCCTGGTGACAAATGCTTTCGATATCTGAATCTGTCCTTCTATATCCAGTCAAAGCTGATCTTGACATTACCTTATATAAATAATCCACAAGTTAACCTCAGCATTGGAAGTGATGCACAGGAACAACTCTATAAAGGTTTTTATTCTACATTCATAATATAATAATTAATAAAAAATTATGGGCTTAAAATGGAAAGACATGAAGGAAGATGTTATTGTACTATAACTATTGTACTGTGTCACGTCTCACATTTTTCAATTCTCTGTGTTTTATGAAAGTCAGAGTTCCAAACCAGGTTTATTACAATGAAATATTTCTTTGTCTGCCATTAAGTGATACATTTAAGATACAACATTTTTTTGCTTATCATACCTTGTGAAAAGCAAATTTGCCTCTTAGACTTCTGCTTCCTACAGAATAATTAAGAATATTAACCACTCTAGGTTCTGTATTAATAATTGTACTAATAAATTTTCCACAGTATTTACTGAACCATTTTCAAATAATTGTAAATTAATAGTATTCTACCACTACTATTAGGCTAGTCAGTGTCAGTAGACCAAAGAGTATTTTCCATGTAGAATTCACACTGATGACTCATACTGAGCCTGCTGTCAACCAGCACCTCTGGATCCCTTTCTGCAGGGCTGCTCTCTGGACACTCCTTTCACAATTTATACTTCTGCCTGGTTAATCTGTTCTAGGTGCAGAATTCTGCATTTCAACTTGTAGAACTTCATCCCATTAATTATTGCCCAATGGCAGTGGTAGGATGTCTAAGAAGGGAACTTGATACAATTTCTAAAATTTGAAGAAAACAAAGTCAGTAGCTTTGGAAGAAACTACTGCTTCTCTCTATTTGTGACAGTTATGTAATGCATGAAGAGTCAATACATCCTTTAGTTATCAATCCTCATTGAGTCCTCATAAAGATCTCCAGAAATTTCCATATTTTGTTCCACGGTTCCATGTTGACCTTGAAAGGCTGTGAATTACATAGTAAAGGGGAAATAAATAAAACATACTGTCACCTACTGTTGTATCTTCCTTCTGGGATCATAGATAATAAGCATACGGTAGATCACTTCTAAAGTAGTATTTCTAAATGACAGTGAGAACAGGTATTACAGAGGGGATGGCTGTTTCTTAGTAATAGTCATTACCACGTCTTTCATAGAGTCATAGCATCATCATCAAGATTGGAAAAGACCTTCAAGATCATCAAGTCCAACTGTCTGCCCTACAACCCCTAACCAATAAACCATCTCCTGAAACATCATGTCCACCCATTATTTGAACATCTCCAGAGATGGTGCATTCACCACCTCCCTGGGCAGCCTGTTCCAATGCCTTACCCCTCTTTCAGTGAATAAATTTTTCCTAATATCCAATCTGAACCTCCCCTGGTGCAACTTGACCCCATTTCCCCTTGTCCTATTGCTAGTCACTAGGGAGAAGAGGCCAAAACCCACTTCACTACAACCTCCTTTCAGGTTGTTGTAGAGAGCAATGAGGTCTCCTCTCAGCCTTCTCTTCTCCAAGCTGAACAGCCCCACCTTCCTTAGCCTCCCCTCTTAAGGCTGGTTCTCTAGACTACTAATCAGCTTAGCTGCCCTTCTCAGCACCATCTCCAGCACCTCAATATTCTTCCTATCCTGAGGTGCACAAAACTGCACACAGTGCTCGAGGTGCAGCCTCACCAAGGCAGAGTAGAGGGGCAGGATCACCTCCCTGGTCCTTCTGCTCACTCTATTCCTCATGCAGGCCAGGATGGTGTTGGCCACCTGGGCACACTGCTGGCTCATGTTCAACCAGCTGTCAATCAGAAACCCCAGGTCCCTCTCTGCTGGGCAGCTCTCCCCAAGCCTGTAGCGCTGCTGGGGGTTGTTGTGGCCAAAGTGTAGGAGCTGTCATTTTTCCCCTTCCCTTTTGGTTAGGGTGACAATGTGAAATAAAATATATTCAGCATCTGACTAGCTACCTGCATTTAGTCAAAACCTAAGTTCAAAAGAGAAAAAGGCAAAAAGACTATGAAAAGTAATTTCCATCTCCTGCAATGCAACTTGTAGCCATCAGGGGAGCTATAGAATGTGGTAAAGACAGTGGCCCTAGGAGAAAATGGATAAGGGGGGAAGGGAGAAGGTGATAGGAAAGAGCTGGGAGAATAATATTCTTGCCTGGGGTGACAGTGATTTAACAGGCAACATATTTTCTACTTATGGTCAAATAGCCCCATTATTCATAACAATTTCCATCAAGAGTCACGATTGTCTCCAGGGCATCATGAATTTAAACTGACCCAAATAACTTAGTGCAGTTGACACTGAGGTTTGAACCAGTTCAAGATGTGTTGTGGGAGATGAATGCAGGTAGGACTTACTACTGTCTTAGTTTTCATCCTTTTTACTTTGCCTATCATTAGATTTCTCCAATTTTCAACAAGTCCCGTTTTGCTTGCAGGAGTAAGCTTTGAGCATCGCAATGTTACTGTAAGTAGCTACTGAGAGTGCAGAAGGATAACCCTGAGTGTTTTTTCTTTCTCTCCAGGCTGCACAGAATTGCACTTGGGACTGCAAGTCTGCAGTAGGCCAAAATCAGTTCTACAGCCAGTAGTTAAACAAAGAAGTACAAAAGTAAGTGAACATTCATACCAACTCAGGCTAGATTTGCTATTGTACTGACATTGGATTATAATTTTTAAAGTATTTTCAGTCCCCATCATTAAAGGAGAAAGTCCCAAATGTTTCTATATTTCAGTATAC